AGGGGTGGGAGGGTTAGGGATTGTGCTGAAGGATTGTTTAATTCACTTTTTAATTTTAAATTTTAAATTATGTCGTACACTGCCCTGGTTGCTGTGCAGAGGGGCGGGTTAAAAATAAAACATTATTATTATTATTATTATTATTATTATTATTATTATTATTATTATTAAAGATATACAAGTCTGCACAAACGTTAGAATCATACAAGCCATTGGTATTCCCTATTACCATGTATGGATGTGACAGTGGGACAGTTAAGAAAGATGATAGGAAGAAAATCAATTCCTTTGAGATGTGGTGCTGGAGAAAAATGCTGAGAATCCCGTGGACAGCCAAAAAGACAAACAAATGGGTCCTAGAGTAGATCAAGCTGGAAAACTCCCTTGAAGCCAAGATGACCAAACTGAGGCTGTCATATTCGGACAGATCATGAGAAGAGAGGACTCTTTGAAAAAAACAAAACACTCCAATAATGCTGGGTAAGGTGGAGGGAAGTAGGAAGGGAGGAAGATCCCATGCTAGATGGATGGACTCTATTAAGGAAGTCATGAGTATTAAGGGGTTGCAGGAATTAAGCAGAGCAGTGGCGGACAGAGAGTCTTGGAGATGTTTCATCCATAGGGTCACCATGAGTTGAGATCTACTCAAGGGCAGTTAACAACAAACAACAAAAGGCCCTAACAAGAGAGGAATTTACAAGGCACTTGAAAGTGGAGCGATGAGCCATAACACACCACTACTTGCTGTCCCACTCTCCCAAACTTCAGAAATTCATCTCTTGGGGAGACTGCATGGGTTAAAAAGTAGGTGGGGGGCACGTTTGGTCAGTGTGACAGTGCAGTGAGTGTAAAATAGAATTTGTATAATTATGATGTCATATTTCAGAGTTATGACATTGTAATTACTGACTAGGATGTAAGCCTAGATGTATTGTCTTTGTATATAGGTAGCACTCTTAAGTCAGTTAATTTTTCCCCAATGAAGCATAGGCTTCCCTTCTCAAATTCTGATTCCTTTTGTTGTTATTTACAAAAAACAAAGAGTGGAAATTGGCATTTTAAAAATTAGTGGCCTCATTCTTGCTCTCCTTCAAAATGATTAAAAACAAATAAGCTTTTTCTTCAAGTTAAAACAAATGCAGGCTTATTTTATTTTTAAACCAATGAAGTGATACTGAGTGTTTGTCATGTATTACAATTGGCCATCACCAAATCTCACATATTATCTTGTTGCGCAAATACATGTAATGACTGTATAATTATTTTGATTACAATGTTTGTGTAAATTTCTCTCTTGTGTTTATTCATTACTCTAAGTGAAATGGCAGATGGAAACAAAAGTGCCACATAATATGAAAGAGCAAATACATGCTGTTGAGAAATCAATGCAGAGAAAGTGCCGTAGACATGACAAATTGTTGTTTATGTCCTGCACTAAAAATGCACCAAAAAGTATTTTTCACTTGACTGCAGAAGTCTACCTTGTTATTTCTGAACTTGGAACTTCCTTGGCAAATAAAAGACAAAATTCAACCACTGTTATCTGTAATAACGGTATGATGAGGAAAGTAGTAAGACTCCATTCTTTTTCCTTGTATTGTGCCTATGTGGTCTTGGAAGGTAAACAAACTGAGCCCTGATTAGAACTTGGATGAGAGGCTGCCAGCAAATACCAGGTGCTGTAAACTGTATTTCAGACAAACGAACTGGCAAAGCCACCTGTGAGTATTCCTTACCTATGAAAACCCTATGAAATTCATGGGGTTGTCATTAGTCAACAGGTGACTTGAAGGCACACACACATCCCATAGTACATCAGACAAGGTAAGAGTAAGATGGCTGTTTTATGGCTTTTGATTTTTCTCCTTAAAACTTACCATTTTACCAGGTCTGGATCCATATCATAAAAAGTAAATAACATCATCTTTATGAGGCTGGTTCATTGGGGAAGTTTTCCACATTGTTTGAGCCAGACAATTTCTGAGCATGTCCCAATGGTACATGCAACAGACAATTAATTATAACTTGGCAATAACTGCCTGTTGTACATGTGTCTGTCTGAAGCTTTATTAACAGCGAATCTTGAAATTTGGTATCCCTCCAAACCCTCTGCCCATGATTTGTTGTAGTTTTCTACTGTTTTCTTCCACACCTTGAGTATTTATTTTTTTTAAAAAAACAACCATTTTATCCAGTTAGAGTTGGGCAGGATAACTCACCTCAGCAAAGGATTCCTCTTGCAACGCAGTAAGAGTTGGGTGCATTCTGGGGTTTGGAGCCATGATTAGGTGGAGCATCTTTGTTGGCCATAAGCACTTCATCTTCTCTATTCAGGCCTGAAAGACCAAGGGTGCATTGACAGTGTAGAAATAAAGCAGTTTGATACCATTTTAAGTGGTGTAACTGTATTCTGTGGAATCCTGGGATTGGTAGTTTTACAAGATCTTTAGCATGCTCTGCCAAAGTGTGATGGTGTCTCACAAAACTTCAAATCCCAGGATTCTATAGGATGAAGCCATGGCAGTTAACATGGTGCCAAACTGTATTACTGCTACAGTGTTGACACATCTCAAGACAAAGTGTGGATGCATGAAGGATAAGTTGTAAGTAGGCACAATTTGTGACACTTCACAAAATCATGCCTGATTACTGAGCCCATCTGTTAAGTTTAGCTTTAAATTTCCTGGCTCTGTGAAGCAAGAACCAGCAGGAGGTATTTTAACCTCACTCTCAAACCAGCAGGATTTTGGATGATTGAATATTAGATAATATATCTTCCTTCCACTGCCAATAAAAGGTGTTCTGGCACTCTCATTTCACAGCAGTAGTGAGCATAAAACTATGTTATCACTTAAGAGATCTCCAAGGTAAAGCTGAGAGGTGTTTCTCAGGAGATGGAAAAAAATGCTATCAAGAATAGCATGTTGCTGCCAAATACGGTAACACATTCAGTTAAATTCTTAGTCCTTCTGATTTTCAGCATTGCTTCCCCTCTAAATAAAATGTATATATCCACAATGAAAAAGAAAAGAAAAGAGGATGATGATAAGGCTGCACAGCAGTGTGTGTAAGCATTTTTCCCCATCATAGCTTGATATACTGTGATATCTGACATTCCTCCCTCTTGTAATTTAGGCTGCCTTTATAACTGCCCTGTCTAACTATCTTACAAGAACTAGTTTTCCTTCCTAGTAACATGTCTATTGTAAGCCAAGTACCATGTGGCCATTCTGTTTAAAGGATGTCTCTCAATACCCATCCATCATACCGCCACATCTTGTGACATCCATAGTCACACAAGTCAAACATCAAGTGCTACATTTAAAAGATTAAAATGTGCATGCACATGTGTGTTTGTTTATATCCAAATCTCAAAATTTTACAGAAGTGTGGCAATTAACAACAATGGAATCTTCAAAGGCCACTGATGAATGACTGTGATGAGGGTTTGTTAGCTTTTTTTGTTTCCATCATCACAGTTGTTGCTGGAAAGTGTCTTAAATCTGTTTACCCAAAGATTTAATGTATCTTTTAGACAAAATACATTAAAATATAATTAAGAGGATATTGAAAAAATATCAGGCACCAGGAAACCGGATCAACTTGAATGTATTCATTTGAAGAAAGAAGAACTGGCATGATCCTTCAAGAAGTGCCCTTTTCAACCATCATAGTTGTTTCTTTTTTCTTTTCTTTTTATTTCTTTTTAAACTATCCATCATAAAGACCTCAATGCAGTTGGCCCTTCTTATCCATGAATTCTTTATCCATGGAGTCAACATCCACAGTTAGAAAATATTCAAAAATATATAAATTCAAAAAAGCAATGCTTGATTTTGCCATTTTATATAAGGGACACAATTTTGCCATTTTGTTATCCATTGTGTTTAATGGGATTTGAGCATCTATGGATTTTAGGATCCATGGGGAAGGGGTTTCCTGGAATCAAACCCCAGTGGATACCAAGGGCCCACTGTATTCTAATTCCAAGGTCATGTCTACATGGTCCAAAGAAGCCAGTTCCCCTCATCCTCATGGCAACCTGTTTTCACAAGGCAGGACCAAAGCCCTGATTCAAGTGTAGACTGTCTTCACAATGTGAAGCCACCAAATCCAGCCCATCCCTCCCTTAAACCAGGTTTAAAAGGCTTATCCTTTGCTCCAGATTTTCTGGAGCACTACATAGCGATGCTGGGTTGCTGTTTACATACATGTCCTGTTGTGCCACCTGGCACCACTGGCACAAATCACTCCCTCTGAGATCACAACAAGGCTTTTGACTTTAGAAGGAGTGACTCTCACCAGCAGTAGTGGCACGAAGTGGCACAGTGGGGCATGCATGGTATACAACTGCCTGGTGTCACTCTGGAATATGGAGGTAATGGAGAGAATTTGGTGCAGCTTTGGGGCCAGAATACTCCAAGAGTAGCCCAGAATATTCTGGCTGGTGTAGACCC